TTTTGACTTATTTTAGAAATTCATTATCATTTCAGCTTTGGTAATAGGATGCTATTTGAAGAATATTATTTTTAACAACAACGAAACAAAATCTCATTGTGTTTTTTTCCAATTTTAACTCTTTGTTTGCCGAGATAAGCAATATATTACAAAAATTTTACACCATTTTTTGTTTATATAAGATTCGTTTTTTTTTTTTTTTTATTTTTTTTTATTTTTTGTAAATAAGGGATTGAGTGGGAATGGCGGTAGGAATTAAAGGAAATATCTACATCATTGGTTTCTAAATCTGATATCAAAAATCATAACATATTATTTGATAATAAATTGTCTATTTTGTTCAGGACGTGTGCCGCAACCGGTGTGCAGCAAAATCCAGGTGTTCCTACTAACTGCTCTTCAGTAAGGATGTTTGATCTCTTATCATTTAAAAGTGTTTTCGAAATTTTATACTGGCACAATTCTTTTCCAATACTGGTTCGAATATTATCAGTAATTTTTCTAAGGGGAAAGCATTTTTTGCTTGGCTTTTACTTTTATAGAGTTTTAATGTGTTTTGTATATACTTTCCTCGGTCTTCCTTCCGTTTTTTTTCTGAAACTTTGTCGATGATTAGTTTAAGAAGTTTTTCTTCCAATGTTGTGCATTTAATTTTTTAAAGTTTTATAGTGAGGTTGGCGTCTTTAACACTTTAGTTTTTTTCACTAAGGTGAGAATAAGTTTAATACTTGAAATTCCTGTTACAGTGGGTACAAATTACAATTTGAAGTCTGTTCTCCTCTATGTGTTGCTTAAGGTTGTCACAGCTTGCTGCAATAAGTAAGGGAGTTTTTGATTTGTTTCAGAGTGATGGGTCTTATTGTCAAGGTATGAGTGGTGAAAAGAAAAGCGCTTAGTTTGAAGCTAAGACGGACTTTATTTTATGATTTTCACTGAGGATTCTTCTTTATTCTTAGTTTTGCCGGATCAGGCGTTACAAGCAGCGTGTGTGCCCTGCTGGTGTTTTTGGTAAAAGCAATTTTAGACCCAATTTTTAGTAATGTTCTAACAGTTCACATTTCTTCCACAAATAATAACTGGTAACTGGTATCCAACTGCTAACAGTAAGTTCAGATTTCTGATATAGTGAACTTTGGGAATTTGAGACTGTCAAGCAAAATTTTACAGTTTCGCAGATCGATTATAAATTTGCTGTAGTGTTGGCGACGTGATGTTGAGCGCGTAGCTAATTTTTTTCAAGGCACAAACTTAAGAATAAAAGAAAAAAAACAATATGTATTCTTGAAGGTTAAGTTTTGTAGCAAGTTAACGGATTGGCTGCAGGGCTTTGGAATAGTTTTCTGTTTGCTGGACTCGATAAATGATTGATTCTTTTCTGTTTCTATGCATCTGGTCAAAACTACTTTCAATATAGGGGCCATTGTGTTTGCAAAAAGAATATTTCCAAGTTGGATATAATATTAAATCTTTTTATTCTTTTTTATCTCCAACTTCATCAGTGTCTTTAGGCCTTTTCACGTTGTCCACCAAATTGTAGATGTTACAAAAACAAAAAACAGTTTAAAACGGCCTAAGAAAATCAGTTAGTGAAGACAACATTGGAAAGAACAGTTGCACTAAATTATTCATTTGAAAAAATGACTAAAATTTTAGTACTAAGCACGAGCGTTTTTTCTTGCATAGTTTGTAATAAGCAATTGAAGTGTTTTTCAGTTTTATCCGAATACTGCGCAGAAAAATTGAAAAAACTTATAACTTTTTTTTTTTTGAATGTTTTAGATTAGTATCTTTTTTTTAAACTTATATTTGCTAATTTTATTGAGCTATCTTTTCGGGTATGGAATGACATTTGGCAATTAGTTATAAAAGTTTTTATATACGAATGTTAAGGTAATTGGACTTTGATTTATTTCAGAACAACAGTACTTATGTAATACGAGATAATGAAGGTCGTTGGTTTTTGTTGCAAACAAATGCTGCCGCTGGCACTACGGCTTCTGAATCTAGAGTTCATCAGGTATCATCGGCCACTTTTAGTGGGACTCAACCGTTTTTTCCTTACTGTTGGATTAAAAGACTTTTGCAAACATACCAAAATTTATTCCATTGCGTTTTGTTTTCCAATAGTTTGAAAGCCTCGGCGGGACTGAAAAAAGACTATTCAAAAATTTTTCATGCATACTTTGATTTTGAGCGATAAAAATCAGAACAAAAAAAATTTTTTTTTTTGTCATTTAGCCCTAAAGTATATGATTTTGGTTTTCATTCAAACCTTGAATTTTACGGTTTTGAAGAGAAACAAAAAAAAGAAACGAAAAGTTCTAGGTATTGCAGCAACATTTACAACAAAATTCATTACAGCGCTTGACTTCACAGTTGATCAGATCCAGTTTTGTTATCGGAAACGTTACACTTGGACAGTTAGCGATGAGTTCTGTCCAAAAGCCTCCGTCAACAATTAGTATGGTATTTTGATGTCTTTGCTATGGCTCAAAAAAAAAAAAAAAAACAAATTCAAGCTAGATTTGAAGGAATTGAGTTTTATGTTTTCTAGTTTTCAAGAATTTTTTTAATTAACATTAACTTTTATCAGTAATCCTTTCTTGATTTTTTACCTTCAGTACTTCAATTATGACTGAAGAAAAAATCATGGTTAACATTGATTCAAATCTTCACGGCAGTTGAAATTACGGAAGCTTTTTTTCAATGTGATTTTTAACAACGATTCATTTTCATTTAACAGAAACAAATCTGTTGTGTATTGGTTGAGGTTATTTTTAGCTGTTTCAAATTCGGCACCACATTTACCTTCGGTTACATCGGGAAATGGTACTGTAATACCAATATCTCATCCACGTTCAGGTACCTATCCGTCTGCAACATCTATTGTTCCATCTTATCCACAGCCGGCAGTGCTTAGTCATTGTCAAGGTAAATTTTCATTTACTTATACAAAAAAATTTTCTATGTCTGCTTAATGTTGAGATAGCTGACACTTTCTAAATATAGTCTAAGATAGTTAATATTTTTACATTTTTTATTTTACATCGAATCTCTGTTCATGACTTTTACTGATGATCAGCTGTAACTGCTCAGATTTTGTTTTATTATTTGCCGAAACTTTTTAACGATAAAATTTGTTTTCCAGAAGTTTATTCGACCTCTTCGACTGCATTACCGGTGGTATCTTCCTCAGCAATACTTGTTCCGACGAAAGCACCGTTTCCAACGACTCATTCTGGTGGCTTTTTTATTAAGATTGTTTTTATTACTATTTTTTGTGAAATTAGAACTGCGGCTTTGTAGAATTACTTCTGTTGTTATTGTTCCCATAACGTCCTGAAATATACAAGGAAGGATTGTATTGGAACTGTTGATAGCTAATACTTTATTAGTCGCTTATTCTCGTGGGACCGAGAATAACTCTAAATTTTTGGGATGTTCCAATGTCTTTTATACTTTTTTTCTGGTATTTTATTGAAAGAAGATTTATAATTGACAATACACAAGTTTGCACCTAAATCTGATGCCCAGCGTAATGTATTATTTTGACATCGTGTTGTTACTTCAGACATCGGAATTTCATCGCATCCATTGGTCTCTTGTATTGAGAGTGAGCAAACTGTAGATGGCGACTCTGATGTTTCTTCCATCAACAACGTTAATCTGGACAGTGTCAACGCGTCCTTAATCCCTATGCCAAAAATGTATAAGGATTCATCCGAAGGTTGTTACTTGATATTTTACTGAATGGATTTTAGTGTAATTTTTGTTGCATTTATCTCCATTTTTTCTGTGGTACATTTGTCCCGCACTTCTCCAGCTTTTTTTTTTTCTGGGCATACCCAAACTTATAGATTCCGATGTTTTTTTAAACATACTATTTGAGTATATTTCCTGTGAATCTTTGCAATTTTCTAATCTTTTCATCCTCTTTACTGATCTTCTCTTGTTAATGAAGTTGGTATTAAGCGTTTTGCCATAATTTCTCTCTCCTTCTCTCTCCCAAACTAAGCCGTTGTAGATCTGTAATAACGAGAAAAAGCATTTTAGCAAAAGAAGGTCAAGTATGTGACAATTCTAAATTCATGCATGAAGCAGCATGCACTTCATCACTTATTGGCTGTTCGATTAGTCGAAATTTTCCACAGATAAACTCTCTAGCTTCTGGGACGCCGCAGCAGTTGCTCCCAGTTTTTCATCAACAACAGAATTTGCCGCATTTTGTACCACAGCCTCGTAAGCTTGGGATACTACTTATTAGCCATCTTTGATTAACCTCACGCTGTTAATTTATCTCTCCGTGATTGTGGATTTATAGGTTTTACGCAACTTCGTACTAGGACAAATGGTGACGTCGCACGAGGAGTTGAAAATGAACCGCCTTTTATAGAATGTCACGGTAGAACTTGTTAACTTTTATCGTATGAGCAAGTTCAGATTAAAAAAATAAAAATGGTTTTTATCAGTATTTGTCAGTTAAAGCGTTGTTTGTTTTGATTAGGAGTTATCAGTTCCATTCCATACTGTGCTTTTTAGGCGAATCTAAAGAAGCACATAAAGTACGTCTTTTGTTTCTTCGAGAAGCTGAGGCATTTCGTGGGAAACTTGGCCCTCAACGCGAAGTAATTCACTCGGTTGATGGTCAGGAAATCTTGGTATAAATTTTTTTTTAGTTTTTTTTCATTATGATTTGACTAATTTCGTTCTTCAGATTTACCTTGTAACAGTTGAATTTATGATTTAATCTACATTTATTTTCTAGGAGTCAGATACACCATTCTTACCGATGCCGCCTGTCCCTCTAGAAGAGTGGATTTCTCGTAGACCTCGCGAATTAAAAAAGAGAGGTAGGAGATTTTTATATTTTTTAATTTTTCAAGTAATACTATTATTTTTTGGCATTCCTTCGCGTGTTTATTTCTTTTGCAGTGTTTTGTAAAAATAAAAGTTTGGATGATGAAGATAACACTGATATTAACTTTCCAAAGGCAGAAGAGAGAGGTCCATGTCCTAGTGGAAGCAAAACTCAAGTACTTTCCAGGTAAATTTATATTATCATACTTTTCCATGGTTCTTTCAGTAATCCGTAACATTTCTGAAAATTTGGATCTAGCTGCTTTATCCGAAGGCAATTAAATACTCTTCTGTTTTTGAAAGAGTGAAAAGAAGTTTGAGAGTCGTGATGGTCAGTTTCACTGCAAAAACTTCTTTCCATATTAGCAATTTCATTCTTCATTGAGTAACACTTCTAGGTTCAAGAAAAGTAACTAAAACTGATCTAGTTTGTGATTTCTGCCTCCTAAACTGGGTTTTTTTAGATCTATTTGCGATTCGCTTAAACGTCCCGAGAGAGACTCGGAAATGAAGAAGAAGAAACGTAGAGCCAACAAGGTGCTTTTAAAAATGCAATTTATTAGTTCTCCTCCTGTGCTTAGTGTCTTTCATGCTTTTGACTCATTTTCTTATGTTTCCTTCAACACCTGAAAATTCCATAAAAGTCCAGTTCTAACATTATTCCAGATCGATGGAGTTTTTCAAGCAAACCTCGGTACTATTCAGAACCATCTCCATAGTGTTACGGAAGGTTATATTAAGAATGGAGACGCGAAAGTTGAGCTAAACGATACCGAGGTTGTTGCTAACAATGGTAACGATGTGGCAACCTCACCATATTTGAACACCAGCGAAGGCGGTGTAGCCATTAAGGGAGGAAAGGACAAGTTTTCCTCTAGCCGAGGGGGAATCAAAGAAAAAAAGAGGAAAGTTCGACTTCTTGGGAAGAGGAGTCAAGAGGGAATTAAGATAAAACAGCTGACACCAGAAACTTTTGAGAAGGAAGTTGAGAAACAACCTGCTAATCACAAGGAAATCCAAAAAATTACTGACTGCTTACCACAAGACAGTGGTGAAGATAAACGCGGTACTTTCATTTACATTGAATTTTTATAAATATTGTTTTCTTATTTTTACCAGAATTGCTTTTGCTTTTGAGAAGAGGCGTAGTTCTTTGAGGCCTTTTATAGGTCGTGATTTCCATCCTGAAAAAACTTGTTCCAATTCAGAACCTGTAAATCCTGCTGAGACCTCTTTAAACTCTTCTGTTGAAAGCGGCGGTGATCTCGAACTCGGCATGGGCAACATTACTTTATCAGACGAAGATTTGGATGTTGAGAGATGTATCTATTGTGATGGCTACTTAAGATTGAAACGGCTTACTAGTCACCCTCAGTATTGCTCTAAGAAATGTCGGAAACTATGGAAAAAAAACCCGCTGTTGAAAGGTTAAATCAAATTGTTAATAACTATTGCAGATGATCTTTTCCCCACAGATTAGGTTCTTCTAATAATCACTTCTAGTTCAGTGACAGGAGAATTAGGCCTCCAGTTGCCCTTCCTGGCATGCATCTTTATTTTTTTTAGGGAGAAATTTAGGAGAATCTTCTTTACAACAAACAGAAAATAAAAATCGCAATTCTGTCACTGTGTCGTCTTCCACTACTGTTATACCATCTTTTGCTGGTGCAACGTATACACCACCTAATCACTCAGGTTGAAACAGATTTAACTTATAGACTGCTTTTCATTTCCCTTCATCTGAATTAAAAACTTTAGGGTTTGTTTTACCCGATACGCATCAACGACCGGTGAGAACCTTGATCTTAAAAATGGGCACAGTAGCAGAGAGTGACGGTCCGCGTGGTTCCGCAATGTTTCATAATTCGGATCACAGCACTTCTGGAGAAGTCTGTCACGAGACTTCACGCAAATCGTCCGCGGTTTACACCCCACCTGTTCCTAATTTCGTTGTGAGAACGCCACAAGTTTCGGACACCCAAGTTCCTCCGCCTCACCTCGTTTTACCGCCTGAACATGCTTCTTCAGCTTACGCACCCACCATTTTGGATCGTTCAATCTCGGGTGGTTTTCATCCAACAAATGGACCTGATTTTCTGAAACAAGACCCTAGAAACTGGAGTGTAAGTTAGTTTGATGCCTTAGCTTCACTCTTTCAGCAGAACTTTTTTTTCTTTCAATTAAACCTATATTCAAAACCATAGAGCTCTTGTTGGTATAAAAAGATTTTCTTTAGTGTGACGAAGTTGCTACTTGGGTGACGCGAGTGACTGGGTCAAGTGGGATTGGAGAGAAATTTCGAAACCAAGATGTTGATGGTCAATCTCTGTTGTTAATGGCTGAAAGCGAAGGAGGGATTAGTGCTATCTTGACTCAAAAGTTACTTCTGAAATTAGGCCCTGTTCTGAAACTAGAAAAAGCGTTAAAAGATTTGATCGCAAAGAATAGCGACTGAGATATGCCACGATCACGTCTTCCTCGGAAAAGTAGATCTTTAGGACGCCATACTTGATTTGGTTCTATTGAAGTCAAGGATTCTAAACCACAATTATAGTCTTTGTTCATGACAAGAAGTCTTTTGATTTATGTTTGCATCGTTGTATAGTTGTTACAGCTCTTATATTTAAAAAATAAGTAGAAAGTGAAAAAACTAAAGCAAAGAAGGTTTTTGAGGAGCATAATTTAAAGCTAGGGATTGGAAAAAATTTATTCAGTATTGTAGAACATTTATTGCTGGCGCATTTTAGTGTCAAAGCAAATTAGAATCTTGCTACCAAAAGACACTTTTTGATGTAATCTTGAATTGTACTGATACTATAAATGGTGGGGTCTTCTGTGACTTAACCTTATAGAATCTTTTTCTTTAGCACTGCATTAAGTATCAAGATGCCAGAAAGCTTTTGATGCTTTTGCGCGTGTAGCTGCTCATTACTGTTAGTCAAGGTAAAATGATTTTGGTCGTTTAGTGCTATTTTTCAAATAGCTCACAAACTTTCCAAAGCGATAATAAATGCATGCTCCCCCATCATTTATGGGTGCCAGTAATACAAAAGCCAATTATCTATATTTTGCCTTAAACATACGTATTCTTGAGAAAATCGAATCTCTACTTTAGCTCGATATAATAAGCCCACCTAGTAGAGCCTCATTTGGAAAGCTCCATTAGGCTGTGTTTACGAGATAATTTTTGCATAATATGATTCTTTCCTTTATATTTGGTTTTAAATCCTTATTTTTTTTCTCAAGATTTCAATGATATCTCTCGCCAGGAGCGATTTCCATAGATTCTGTATATTTGCGTGCTATGTTGAAATTATAACTAGTAAATCTCAATTAGTCGAAAAACTCATGGAAGGTCAGGGTATTTCGTTGGGCACTCAAGTGATTTCTATGTCCTTTAATTTCGGTCAATTTCAATTTATTTTCCTACTTGAACATA